GGGGGGGGGGGGGGGGGGGGGGGGGGGGCGGGGGCCAACCAACAGGCGCTGATGTGATGTGGTGTGATGTGGTGTGCTGTGCTACGCATATCGATTCATATGCGGATATAAACGTGTCAGTCAGTCAGACATACATACATACAGACGGGTGTACATGAAAGACTTAACTTAGCCATCACACCGCATCACACCGCCAGCACACAATCCACCCATTCACAATCCATCCACACATCCGTCCCATCCGCACGCAAAACAGAGAGCAAAACACGACACCACATCACGTGTACCTGATAATACAACCAACCACAAGCAGCACTCACACACTCACACACACACACAGCGAGAGAGGGAGGGAGAGGGGGCTATGTACAATCACGGCACGTGTAGATGAGGAGGCAGCTCAGCTCGCACACAGCAAGGCAAGGCAAGGGCAGTTCAGCACAGCGCACACACGACACGACACGCAATTACCCCTCCGCCCCTCCGTCCGTATGGATGTAAGGAATAGGTCATAAAGAAGTAGGCAGGCGCATGGCATGCATGGGATGGATGCATCGCGTGGTGGGTGGGCGGGTGGGTTGGTGAGTGCGTTGGTATGTCTGTCTGTCTGTCTGTCTGTATGGGTGGAGATCGACTCAGTGTTCCTAAGGATAAACTCTTACACACATACACACACACATTCAACTCAGTACGGACACATTGACCTGACGACAGACGCACTGCACTGCACTGATGCATTCAACCATCCACCGCACCCACCACCATACGGCCCCCCACAAACAGACAGAGGCAGACCACACAAGGCGCGACACACATGCCTACACGTGCGTCGTTGCGCCGCTCCTTCCTTTCCTCTCCTGCTCTGCCATTTGATCTAACGATTCACCAATCAAGATTTCAAGATACAAACCCAGCCATGATACAAGACACGCAATACACGCACACACACACACACAGAGACACAGAGATAGACACAGACACACAAGATACATACAGATGGATGCAGGTGAGGAAATCGTTATCAAATGGCCGACAGACAGACACAGGGCATAAACGATGCACCAAGGGAAGGAGGATGCACCGTGCACCATTTAGTTATCACACACAAGACACACACACACACACACACAGACAGAGAGAGAGAGAGGGGGGCGAAAACCAAACGTGAGAGCACCGAGAGCAACGGTGTTACAAAAACAGAGAAAGAGGCGGAGAGAGAGAGAGAGGCTTGGCGAGTCATTGAATGGGTGGGTGACCACAGGGTGGGTGGGTGGATGGCTGTATGTACGTATGGCCATGCATGGCTGCCAAACACTTGCCTGGCCAGCAGGCAAGGCAAGTGGCATGCCAGGCACGCCTCATCTCATGTATGTGCGTGCGTCTGTCGGTCGTGTGTAGTGTGTATCTCATCTCGTATTTCCCATCCCATTCCATCATCAAGTACTGTACCTGTAGTGCAGTGTAGTGTAGTGTAGTGTAAGCATCGGTTCTGTCTGCAATCATTGCAGGTGAGGTGCTCCTATCGGTTAAATAAGCGCGTAAGCACACTCGGGCGACAGCGGGACACACTCGGGTGGGCTCAGCTGGACGGCACGAAGGAAAACCAGCAGCCCGTCCCGCCCGCTCAGTCGTCCATTGCACAAACACACGACGATCCCAGAGAGAAAGACAGAGAGAGAGAGAGAGAGGGAGAGGGATGGCGTGGCGGAGAGAGAGGAAGGGGTGGTGGCGCGTGGGAATGAGTGAGTGCGATGGTGAGGGAGGAAAAATAGTTGTTAGCACCAGCTAGCGTGTGTGTGACCCTCCCTCCCCCATAGCCCCATGCACTAAAGCACTTAGCCAGCCAGTCCACTTATTTCAGCCGGCCAGCCAGCCACGGACACACGACGAGCCGGCCGGCCGGCCGATCGAGCGGGCGACTGGCGGACTGACTACACTGCCGCCCCGCCCCCCTTGCTACAAAAACCACTTGATGGCTCCATGTCATGTGTGTACCCCCACACCCATCAATCCACCTCTTCCCCCCAACCCCCCCACCCCCTTAGTCAGTCAGTCAGTAGATTTCGTGTGTTTCGCACTCCACCACCTCGGTCAGCAGCTGTGACACCTCCTGCATCCTGTGGGCGTGCGCCGAGTCGTCCGACAGAGCCAGCGACACCCCGTCAGTGTCACCCTCAGACACGTCGTCGCCCACATCGCTGCCCGCCTCGTCCCCATAGGCAGCCACCAGAGGCAGGTCGGCCGCACCCACTGGCGGGGGGAGGGTGAAGGGCACGGCGGGGGTGCAGGGGGTCCGTGCGGAGCCGTCACATGGGGTGGGGCAGCGGGCCTCGTGCTTGGCGCAGGAAAACTCCAGCTGCTGCTCGTTGAGCATGTGAGCTGGCTCTATCTGCTGCTCCTGCTGCTGCTGCTGCTCCTGCTGCTGGTCGTCATGGCCATGGTCATTGTCACTACGATCGCCATGATCTTCTTCTTGTCCTCCTCCTTCTTGTGGGTGGGGGGGCTGGAGGGGGCAGTCGAAGTCGCCGTCTGGGGGGATGGTGGTTGTGGCTGCGTCGACAGGGCTGCTGTGGGTGCTGGTGGACGATCCTTCGCAGGTGTCGGTGGGCGTGTGCGGGTGGGCGGCGGTGGGTGGGGTGGTGGGCTCGCCTGAGGCGTCTGCACGGGCGTCTGCAGACAGAGAGAGAGTGCACAAGTCAAATCAAATCAAATCAGATGACGGCCGGGTCATCCTCCCTCGCCACTCACCATTTGTTTCGGTGACGGTGTCGGCTGCCGTGACTGCTTCTGGTGGTGGTGGTAGGGTGGTGGGGGGAATGGGGGCGGTGGCGGGGAGCTCCTCCTCCGGAGCAGCTGCCGCACAGACATAGACACACCGACACATGTCGCTGCGGCCCCTGCTGGCGGTCCACTGAGGCGAGAGGTGCGGCGCCCGTCCGCCACAGACGTCTTCATCCTCCTCCATGCCCTCGGCCATGGCCTCGTCGATGTCCTCGTCGTAGGCGTCGGTGTCCATGTCGTCAAAATCGTCTTCATCTTCCGACTCGTCCAGCTCCTCCTGCCCCTCGTCGATGCGCTCCCTGACCCCCGGCAGCGGCACATCCACCCGCCGCACCTCCCGGCTCTCATCCCCCGTCCGCTCCTTCTTCTCACGCTCCCGCGGCACCGGCACCCAGCCGATCACCTCGGCCTGGTCACGAGACCGCAGGACGGGCAGCGCTTCCAAGGGGTCCTCGTCAGCGGCCATCGACACGCCGTCGTCGTCGAACCTCAGCAGCCGCCGGGTGGGGATGGGCAACACTGGGACAGGCTGGTGCTGCCGCGAGAAGGACCTCGATGATGACCGGGGGGATCTCCGCTTCTTCTGCGTCGGGCTGAAGCCCAAAATGCTGAGGGGAGAGGGCACGGGGGCGGCCTCTGGGATGACCGAGTTGATGACGGCCGTGGTCAATGGGGAGGCCAGCGGGGTGTCGGTGCTGGCCGTCCGGGTGCGCTTGGCCTGTGGGTGGGGATGAGGGTGTGGGTGTGGGTGTGGGTGCTGAGTGTGGCGGTAGGTGTAGGGGGTGGATGGGGCGTAGGACATGGAAGGGGAGGTGCCCGGCGTGAAGCTGGCCGGCACGGAGGACGGGAAGGTGTCGATGCTGACGTCACTCGCCGCATAGGTGGGGTGCGACGCTGTGAACGTTGCAACAGATACCACACCACCACAAGCACACACACACAGAACAGACCACCGTTTGTGCGGCCACTTCGACGGGCTGCTGTGTGTTTCCCTCTCACTCACCTTCCGACACAGTGGACGCCCTTGTGGTTCGTGTGATGGAGGGGTGTGGCCGGGCGACGGCGAGGGGCAGCTCGGTGTGCGCCCTCTTGCCCCTCAGCCAGCCCCACACGCCGCCGTGACTCGCCATCTCCTGCAAGCGCCGGACAGTACACCTGCACCTCCTCTACAGGCAACTCACAACTCGCTCGTCGAGCACAGGCGACAAGCCAGCGGGATCTCGTCTCGCGTGGGTCACTGTGAGGTCAGTGCGCGCCGTGCGCCTCCGCATCGCGGCCGCGCCGCATCTCCAGAGCCCAGGAGATAAACGGTCGAAGGTCAAACGGCTAAGCTCGCAACCGAGCGAAAGGGAAAGTGCATGTGGAGCGTGCGTGGGTGATTCCTGTTGCGTGCCGTCGTTTGATTGTGCATGAAAGACATGGGACTTGGCCGTCAGGCCGCTTAGGACATTCTGTGAAACCGCTCTCTCAGCGAAAGGGAAAGGAGGCTGGAGGGTCCCATGGCGCCTCAATCGTCCCACTGGACAGAGCAGAAAGGCGAAGTCGTGAGATCTGTCGCCACAGACGCCGACGCGTTCAGGGGCAGCAAGGCTGGCGTGCACACGCGGCGGCGTGGGCTGAGGTTGACGGCCCTGGGCTCCTTGCTGTCGATCGAGAAGCACTGGAAGGCGCTGTGTGGCGCGTTCGTGGAGATCTTCCTGCCTACAGGATTTCCCCACACCGTCTGTGCAGACTACCTCCCATATCAGGTACGTGCGGTGGTGCGCATACGCACTCTCTCTCTCTCCACACACACACACGCGAAGACACTCCATGCAATGAGATGAGTGCATGATTTCTTTCGGTTTGTTTGTCAGGTGTGGGATTCCTGCCAGGCCTTCTGCTCGACTGTGACGGGCCTGTTGGCGTCGCAGTCGGTGTTGCGGATTGTGGGTGTGGGGGACGCTGCGGCCACTGCCTCGAGCGCCGTGCTGGTGTGGGTCATGCGAGACGGATTCGGGATGGTGGGGAGAATCGCATTCTCCTGGCAGGTAGGCATGGCAAGGCACACCTGAGTCCCTTGCGACCATTGCACTGCAGACAGACGCGTGTGTGTGTCGTGTTGTTTGTGTGGCCGGCCGTTTAGTGGTGCAACCAACTGGATCTCAACGCCAAGACATGGCGGTGCGCTCATTCATTCATTCAGTTGAACTAAAAGAAAGAGGCAGTGAAGTGAAAGGGCGAGCGAGGGATCTATGTCTGTCTGTCTGTCTGGTGCGGTGCAGGTTCATGGCTGACATCCTGAACGATGCCGGGATGACTCTCGAGCTGCTGACACCGCCACGCACCTCGCCGCTGTTCATGCCCACCCTCTGTGGGGCCACGCTGTGCAAGGCCGTCTGTGGCGTGGCCGGGGGGGCAACGCGCGCGGCACTCACTCTCCATTTCTCCGTGGCAGACAATGCCGCAGGTGAGCTGAGCAAGACGGAGGGAGGGAGGGAGGGATCGAGATTCGATTCACACGGATGTATGTGTGTGTGTGATTGTTCGTTGTGTGTAGACGTGAGTGCCAAGGACGGCTCGCAGGAGACCCTGGTCAATCTGCTGGGGATGATCGTCGGTACGCATCGCATGCACACACACACGTCAGTCACGTCACAGGTGCATGCCATGGTGCGGTGCACACACAGTGGCATGACACAGCACAGTAAACGTCAGGTCAGTGTCCTTTCTTTCTTCTGTCTGTGTGTTTCTGTGTGATGTGTGACTGCTTACCTTACCCACCTAGGTTCCTACATCATCAAGTCGATAGAGGAGGACCCCTTCTTTGTGAGGCTGCTCTTTGCTGTGTTCACCGCCCTGCACCTGCTCTTCAACTACCTGTGCGCAACACACACACCACACCACACCATTCGCACAGAGACAAACACGAAACAGGCACCAATTGGGTGATGTGTGTGTGTCAATTGCGTCCATCTGTCAGGGCTGTCCGCTCTGTGGTCATGACGACGTTCAACTATCAACGGTTCATGATAGCTGCTGGATGGTCAGTAATTAGGCCGCACACCGATTCGCCTCCGAATCTTCACCCACCCTCCCCTCTCCCTCCTCCCTCTCCCTCTGTGTCTGTCTGTCTGTGTCTGTCTGTCTGCTTCAGCTTTCTGCAGACGGGCCACGTGCCGTCGCCGGAGACAGTGGCCATCCATGAGAAGCTCTTCTGGCCAGTGGAGGCACCCCTCATCGAAATGGTCGTCAAGACCTTCATCGGCCTCCTGTCGATGCTGCCCAAGGCCGACCGTTGGGCGGGGTATGCTCTGGTGGGTCGGGGCGACGACAACCACAACCACAACAGGCACAGCAAGGAGAGGGCGCGGCGCGTGGCGTGGCGGTTGCTGAACAAGGAGAGGGAGAGCGGGCTGGCAGGAGGGTTCATGTACGGCGGATCCATCAAGGACGCCATCGACAGAGCGCATGACCGGAACAGAAGTGAGCAACCCACCGACGACCGACAGACGCAGATTCTTCTCTCTCCTCTTTTGTCTTTTTGTCTTCGTGTTTGTGTGTGGCAATGGTTGTTCAGTCCAATCGTGGCTGGAGGAGTGGACTGCACATGTGCCCTCACCCTCGCCCTCTTTCCTCTACCTCCCACACATGCGTCGCTCCATCATTCCGTCGCCGTGCGGCCCGTCCATCAAGACATACGCACTCGCCACACAGAGGCCAAAACAGTAAGGAAAAGCAAAAGAGAGAGAGAGAGGGTGGGAGGGTCACCATGCTGATCTGACCATTGTGTCGTGCAGCGGTCGTTTCCGCGCCCCTCCACCCCCTCAGTCGTCTGCCAGCAGTTCTCCTGTGTCCAGCTACCACGGCAGCGACACGCACAGCCCGACGAAAGAGGCCATCCCGGCGCCTCTGCCACCCGTATTCTTCCACGCCTGTAAGAAGAGAAGACAAGAACAGAGCGACGGCGTTGATGGGGGCTGCTTTCGTACGCATCTGTGTGCTTACGTGTGTGTGCAGGTGTGCTGCACAGGTTGGCTGTGGGTGCTGTGTCTGCCCTGGACGACGGCGCCAAGGGCCAGGACGGCGGGGTCATCAGAATGGGATGGCTGACACACGCACAAGTAAGTCACCCGTACACCACACCATCTGCGCGCGCACATCAATCCAACCACTACCTTCCCTGCTGTGCCACATCCCTCCCTCATGCAGCGGCTGGACACCCTCCGCCGCATCCGTGCCATCTCCCTTTCCCTGCTCACCGGCGACCAGCACCCCCTCCCCCCCACACCCCCGTCCCGCCCCACACCCGCACCCAGCCAGTCGAGCACAGCCACGCACACCCAAACCCAAGACGAGATGTCATCCCACATGTCGATAGCCATTACCGGTGGGGCGCGTGGGGACTGGCGCGCCGCCATGGGTGCATTTGTGACGAAGGCGGAGCAGGCCAGGTGGAACCTTGGTACGCAAAGCCTTCTTGATGGACGAGGAGAGAGAGCAAGAGCGCATGCCGTGGGCACGGTTGTGTGATTGGTTGTGTGTGGCTGTGCTGTGGTGTGCAGGTACGATGTTGATAGAGGACCATGGGTGGACGCTGATGCGCGCAGAGGGGGAGGAGGGGGCAGGGGCAGCACGGAGGGGATGACTGATCTGACTGACGACCTGACATTGGTTGATTTGAGACACAGTGTGCGAACATTCTGCCAGAGGATATTCATTGCCCATCCACGAGTTGGAGTTAGACATTGTGAGCACTACAAGATAGTGCGCACACAATGTCTTCCTTCAGCTCTTGGAGGAGTAATGGTTTCCTCTGCATTGACTAAAGCCGGCGGCCCGGAAAAGCATCCTAAACAAGGATCGCCCTCAGTTTCGCGAGCCGCAATGGTAATTCTGTGTTTCGTGTTGCTGGCGTCCTTCTCCATCCTCCTCGACTCCGAGCTCGCCCACTGCATCGTCCTCATGACCACCACCTTCCTCTCCGCCACACCACCCCAGATCTCCTCATACTAACCCACCCATCCGTCCGTCAGCCGAACGAACGGCCATGGAGGGCGACAGCACGAGCCCAGAGCCTCCGCAGGGCAACCCAGACGCCGATGAGACCCCAGACAACGGAGAGAATGGAGCAGAGGAGAGGGAAAGGGATGACGGTGGTGAGAGGGAGGCGCCGGCGCCTCCAGCAGTGCGTCGTCGTGCGGCTCGGCACACCGTGGGCGCGGCTGCGTCTGTACGGGGTGTGGCGCTGAGCCCGCGGCCCGATGGGCTGCTCAAGGGACAGCCGGGGCCGTACAAGGCTCTCAACCCAGGTAATTAGTCAGCGGAAGGAAGCGACGAGCTACGTCTGCAGTGCTGGATGGATGGATGGCGGATGATGTGGTGCAGATTTGTTGGAGGCTGAGAGCTTCCCGTTAGACGACTTGAAGAAGATCTGCTCATTCCTGAAAATGGACGTACGAGAGGGAAAGACAGACAGACAGACATGCACTGCAGTGAGGACCATCAGTGTGTGTCTGGTGTGTGTGTTGGTGCAGACGGACGGGACGGAGGTGAGTCTGCTGAAGCGCATCAAGGCCCAGCACTCATCCGACAAAGTCCCTAGAACCACCGTACGTAAGACACACAGAGATAGATGGCAATCTGATCTGCCCGTCCATCACTGTATGTATCCCCCATTGCAGGTAGATCCCCGTCTCTGGGACCAGTTGATGAAGGACGACAGCCACCCCAACTCCGCACCATCCCAACAGCAGCAACAGCAGCAGCCCAACCGGATTGGTGCTGGTGCGGGTGCGGGGGGAAGGGGCTCGTTCGGCGGCCGGCTGGTGTTCGGCGGGCAGGGCCGTGGGAGGCGGTCGGTGGCGGGGAGTGGCCGGGCTGGCAGGCGGGCCGCGGCCGTCAACAGGGACAATGACGATGACGTCGTCATGGGTCAGACAGACAGATGAGATGGATGGCGAGGGGAGGGGCAGGGGCTGGGGAGGGAGGGAGTTGTCTGGTCACTGTGTGTATGTGTGTGGTGTGGTGTGTATGGTGTGTGGCGTGGCGTAGATGACCCTTTGCCGCTGCCGCAGAACCTCCACCTGCTGCCGCTGGAGGGACTAGACCTATCGCACGAAATCACCACGCCATGTGGTCGGCTTGACGTGACCACACACGCACACTCAGACACGGGCAACGACCGATCCCGATGTGTGTGTGTGTGTGTATGTGTGTGTGTCAGAGGTGCGCGTGGGTTCGACTAGCGACGTAGAGATGGAGGGCAGCCAGGACGGCCCCGACGCCGCCATTGCCGCCAAACAGAGTATCCTCAGGTAAGGGACACAAACAGACAGACCCATACGCACACCGTACACTCTCATGTTAGGCAAACAAATCCGTCTCTGTCTGCTGCGTGTCTGTCTCTGTGTGTCCTTCAGACGCCGCAAGGGAGACTCCCCGCTCATACAGAGGGACAAACGTAGGAAGCCAACACCACCACCACCACCACCAAAACACACACTCTCCCCACTCCCTGTCTCCTGCGCGAGTATCAGCCCTCCCCGGTCCTGGCAACGTCCGCGGCGGCCCCAGCAAGGGTCGTCCCGAGGCCATCCTGGACATCATCGGCATCAGCGGCACATACGACCACCCCTACATACCCAAACGGGAGAGGGACCAGTACGGCCTGCCGGGCAGGCCCAAGGAGATGCTCGTCTACCAGACCATCACCGAGATGAGCTGCCTTAGGAAGGACCATGGCGAAATGGTCAGAGAGAATGGCAAAAGCAATTGGGCAAAAGGGGAGGATCGGAGAGAGCAGAGGGGCTCATGCATTTGTCTGTCTGTCTGTGTGGGATGGGCGTTCGGCCACCTGATCAATCAGAGTGTGGAGGAGTTGCGCTATGAGGATTACCTGCTGACGGGCGAGATGGACGTCAAGGCTCTCGAGCCTGTGCCGCCGATCGCCGTCCCCGCTTTAGACTTCAACCGACACGACCAGGATGACCACAATATCGACGCACCCTCACCCTCACCCCCCTCGCCGCCCCCTGTAAGCAGCTCAGACAGACAGACAGACCATCCTCCGTGTCTGTCTGTCTGTCTGTCTGTCAGGCGGCGGTAGCTGGGGGTGGTGTGGGTGATGTGGGCACTCCCCCTCCAGTGGCTGCTGGCTGTGTGGCTGTGGGTGTTGGTGTGGGGAGCAGCAGCGGGACCTCTGACGACGCCGACGAGTTTCACTCATGCCAGGAGGAGTCAGGAGAGGGCGAGGGGGACGGCGGCACACCGGTGCCCGCCATACCTAAGGACAAGGACGGCAGTACTACGGACAGAGGTGACTGACGAGAGACAGACAGGAGGAGGGAGGGAGGGAGGCAGGAACAGAGTTGCGTGTTGGTTGCTTTGTGTTCAGGTGGTGCTGCTGCAGCAGCGGGCACTAAGTGCGTCCGCTTCGGCGATGTGGTCGTCATAGAGAGAGGCAGAGGACCGGCCAGTCAGGATTCCAGCAGCCCGAGCAGCGGCAGCGGCGACGGCACATCAGGCAACCACCGCCATCACCCCCTCTCCCCTCCCCCAGCAGCAGTACCAGCCACACCGCCCCTTCCCGGCCCACAAACCTCACCCTCTCAGGACGGCCAGGGCCCGCTCCGCACGCCGCCCCCCGACACGACCACACAGAATGGCACACAGGATGACGGCGATGGGGAGGGCGATGGGGATGTCTTCCCTGACGGCGCCCCCTCAGAGGACGACAAGCGCCGCACTCAAGGTGGCACGCCTAATCCTGTCGTCAAGAAACGCACACGCATCGTGGCCGAGCAACAGCAGCAGGAGCAGGAGCAGGAAGAGCACCAGCAGGAGGGAGAGGGAGAGGGAGATGGTGTAGGGGATAATGGTGACTCGGGTGGTGTTGGTGTTGGTGTGAGGGTGTCTGTGCCTGGGCTGAAGCGCGCGATGGTGTTCAAGCTCAGCAAGGAGGGCATGCTGCACGAGCTAGAGGAGGGAGAGAGCAGGGAGGCAATAGGTGCGTGGCACCACACACCATCACATCAAGGGCGGTTAGCTGTCCTTTCACTCTCCTGCTTCATCTCTCTGTCTGTGTGTCTCTCTCAGCTGCCACCGTCCGCGGCCCCATCCCGACGCTTTACGAGGCGTCGGGCTTCGAGCGTCGGCGGCAGGCCATGGCCGTGTGGTCGTCGCACATGGGGGACCTCCCCCAGTCGCCGCCCCAGAGGAGCCGGTCGCCCCACAACCGACGCGCCACACTCATGGGCACACCCACACCTCAACCTCTATCGCCCAGACGGGGTCAGTCAGTGTGTTCAGCAGATACGCTGCCTGCCTGAGGCCTCCCTCTCACCCACCCACTCTCTCTCTGTGTGTGTGTCTCTGTGTGTGTGTGGTTGTGTGTGTGTGTAGGTGTGAAGCGGTCGCATCCTTCGCCCAGCCCCGACGAGGACGATCAGGCTGGCGAAGAAGCCATGGCGGATGAGGTTGGTGGTGGTGGTGGTGGTTGTGGTGAGGATGAGGTGGAGTCCCCGCCACGCAAGAGGGCCAAGAAGGACAGGAGCGTCCGGTTCTCGCCCATCAATGAGGTTGGTATGCATTGCTTGCAAGAGAGGAAGACAGACAGACATGGATTGCATTGCAGGGACTATGTTGGGTCGCATGTCATGTGTGGTGTGCACTGCAGGTTCAGATCATGGATAAGGAGGGGATGTTCCGCCAGTGGAGCCCCAACGGATGAGACAGACGAGTGAGCACCGAGGCTGGACTGGCGGACGGGCCACGCCACGCCACGCCGCGCCACGCCTCTCCTCCCATACTGACAGATAGCCACCCGCCCACAAAGCCATCTAGACATCTAGACACACACACACACACACACGCACACACACACGCACACACGTCACTTCACACATGTGGATCGGATCGACCAGGAAGGGAAGGTTGTGGGCCAGGTCCGTGTGAGTGAGTCGTATCTATCGCACATTACATTGCACGCAGGGAGCCCTGGACGGTCGCCAGAATTCATGCGTGTCTGGCATGCACATCTATCCCATACACACATCAGCAAAGGATCGTCGTTGTTTGTCTGTCTGTCTGCCTGGCTGGCTGCCTTTGTGTTCGAGTGCAGTTTGGGGCAGGCGGGCAGGCGGGCACGCAGGCTCTGGGTGGGGAACAAACAAGGCTTGTCTGTGTTCTGTGTGTCTCGTTGTCCTCCTGGTCTGCCCTCTTGCTTTGCAAGAAAAGGCCAGACACACACACACACGCACCCGACCCCACCCGAAGCCACCCCATCAGGGCGCCCGCCTGCCTCCTCTGTGTGTCCGTTGCGTTGCCTTTCGGTTCATTGCTGCCTGCCTGGACGCGTGTGTGTAGAGAGTTTGGCTGGCTGGCTGCCTTGTGTGTGGTTGCAAACGTTGATCGGGAGGGACATGGTCGATTCGACGAACAGATGGATGAACAGATGGATGGATGGAAGGATGGATGAGTGAATGAGCTGTCGGTCGGCCGTCGACACCATCATACACACGAAATGTCATGGAGTCGACACGCAGCCTCCCACCAGTCAGCCACACGAGCCACCGAGAGTGTCTATTCACAGGCAGTTAGGCAGGAGAAGGCCTCCGCTGTCAAAGAGTCTGGCCTCGCTGTACACGTCATCCATTCACGCGTCACCTGCCTGCAGACACTGAGCTCACGTCGTACTCACTCACAAGCAGCCGCCGACAAACATCCTCACAAACCTCCCCGTCAGATCAGCGGCCTCGCCACTGATATCCCCGCTGCCATGGCACTGCCCCCCTCGCGCGTCGCACAGCATTGCGAGCGAGTCGAGGAGGGTGGCGAGGGACGACTGCGCTGACTCTGACGCATCCTCGTCCCAGAACGGGGGCACAGGAAGGGCGTGGTTGCCGTCGGTGTCCTCAAGGGCTGATGTCTCCTGAAGACGTAACACGCCATTCCATATTCACCGTGTGTGTGTGTGTGGGTGTCGGTACCTACCTCTTCAGGTGCTTCGCCATCTCCATTGCCCTTCATGATTTCGCCGCAGAATGGGATGACCTTCTTCCGTCGCTGTACCGCTGCCCCGTTGCCGCCGCCATTGCCACCCAACACGTCAGCCACACTTTCCAGCAAATGGATGAAATAGCCCCATTTGGGAAATGACGCATCGATGCCATCAGAGAGGAACGTGACGGACGCTTTGGGCTGAGACAGCCGAGTGGCCTCCGACCGGAGACGGTCGCTGAGGCCCTTCCACTCCTTGCGAGACACCACCAGACGGGAAATCACTGGGCTGCTTCCACCGCCCAGCACCACACAGGTCAGCACGGCTCGGGTAGAGGGAGACACGCTCCGCTCAGTGACATCCATGAAGGTCGCAGGCGACCACCTGAAGAGCACCTGCGCTTCTCCCTCCTCAGTGAGTCCCTCGGTCTCTTCGTCTGTGTCCATTAGTCGGGGGAGGGAGGGGAGCTTGTATGTGTTAGGCAGGGCGGCGAGCAGGGACAGGTGCAGCTGGTCGGTGAGCAGGCGGAGTGGGCCGTCGAGGGAGTGGAAGAGGGAGTCCTCGCGACGGACCGATTGCAAAGTCATCTGCACATTCAGCGCTGTCAGGCCTGAATCCACACCGCATAGAAACAAGCGAGCCGTGCGTGCGATGGACGAGACATGCATACTCACCTGTGGCCCCATTGGCGTACGGCAGACCTCCCTCCTCTCCCTGCCTCGCGAGAGCGATGGGTAGGTCACTCCGCACCACCGGCGGCACCTTCGACGCATCTATCGCCCCGCCCCCTGCGCACTCCGCCACTCTCAACTCGGCGGCCCCCAGCTCGGCTGACGCCTTCATCAGCTCAACCACGCACACCAGTGCGGCGGGGTGCTCCCTGATGGGATGGAAATACGCCATCAGGCTGCGCACCCCTTCGCTGAAGAGGCGGTGGGTGAGGGCGGTGTCTCCGCTGGCGAAGGTCTGGGTGAGATGGAGACATGCGACGGTGACATTGAAGAGCTTGACGGCGTCGGGGGGTGGGCGAGGAGAGAGAAGGCGGTCACATTTGAGCAGCAGGGTGACACCAAAGACATACAGATACCCCACGTGGAAGGCGTCGGAGAGGCTGCACAGCCGGCTGAGGGCCTCCGTGATGTGGAATCTCGCCTCATCCAGCCTTGCCGTCTCCATCAGCCGCTCGGCCAACATCAGTTCGGCGTGCACTCGCAGCAGCTGGTGGGGCACATAGCGGCTCTGCGGCACCCTGCTGTCGTTGGCAGAGCGGCTTTCCTCTCCCTCCTCCCCATTCCCCTCCTCTGCCCTCAGAATGCCCTCGCCCATCTCCTGCTTCTCCAGCCACTGGGCCAGGAGGGATGGCGGGGGAGGGATGATGGGAAGACCAGTGGGCTCAGTGGGCAGCTCCTTTGGTGCGGCAGAGCGTAGAGGGATGTGCTGGTTTATGTCGAGCGGGTGCAGGTCGAAGCCGAACGAGCGGATGTTGCCGTCGAGGCTCTTCATGGCCGCATCCATGTGCTGGATCAGGAAAACCTGTCTCCTCTCCCAAGCCTCCCTCGTCTCGCCGATGTCAGTCCATCCCTGTGGCGGCCTTTCTGCCTTCGTGCTGACCTTCTTCATCTCCCCGAACGACGCTTTTCTCGGCTGAATGGTCTTGTGTCTCTCGCTCTTGTCTGTCAGAGTGGCGCCCTTGCCTCCTCTCTCCCCCCTCTCCCCCCTCTCGAGCACTCCAGGCGCTTGTATCACCACCGCACATAGCAGCAGGCGCAGGTAAGCCACAGGGGGGTATGCCTGATGCATCCCCTCCACCCGCCCCAACACGTCCTTCGCCGTCACGCAGGCCTCCAAGAGCTCGCCCTTGAGCATCAGCATCTGGCACTTCGCCACGGCAATGTCCACGCGGCTCAATGGGTCATCAAACCCACTTGGTGCGGACGCAGAGACCGTCTGTGTGGCCTTTGGCGGCGGGGGGTGGGGCAGTGTGGCGAGGGCGGTGGTGCGCTCGGGTGATGGGAAGCGGTGGGAGGGTACGGGCGGTGCGGATGGAGGGGGGGCGTCCGCTTCTCGTTGTGCATGCTGTATGTGTGTGTTGAGGGCGCTGAGTCGGCCCTGGCGATAGAGCAGGTGCAGCAGATGGCAGCGCAGACGGAGCCACACCTGAGCAGGCAAGTACACAGACACGGAGGGAGGGACACATCACACGGGTCATGCATGGCTGTCTGTCGAGGAAAGATCGATCACCTTGACATCCGGCCCCTTTCTCATTTGTCTCTTGGCCTTGCTGGTGTCACTGACGCTGGCGGCCTTGGATGACGCCGCCACTGCCGAGCCGCCCCCGCCCTCTCTCGGGCTGGCCTGGAGGCTGCCTGCGCTCTCGCCCTGCTTGGTTGCCTGCGGCTTGAAGGTCTGCATGGCCGCCAGCAGGTGCGCCACGGCTGCAGAGAGGGAGCCACGGCACTCCTCCACTCGGGCCAGAGACCGATAGATGCTAATAAGCAAATCTGACTCGTCGGCGCTGCATCGCGTTGCACGACGCATAAAGGCACAGGACACACACATGACATGGACACAGAGAGACGTGGGTGAATGTCTGCCCCTCGTGAGCACCTGAGTGCTTTCGGCTGTGTCTTGTCGGACTTGGTATCCACTGGCTGTGGCGGCGGTGCCTTGCCCTTTCCTGCCGGCGCAGGTGCCGCCTTGCCCTTGGCAGCTGCCTTGCCGGCGGCCTCGGCTGCTGCTGCGGGTGGTTTAGGTGCAGAGGAGGTCAGGGCGGAGAGAGCCGCGTTGAGGAGGTCGTCTGCCATGTCGAGCATTGGTTTGTGAGGAATGTCTCCCACTTCCTGATGAGATCAGAGGAGATGCAGGAGTGTCTGACGGTTGGATGGATGGGCGTACCTGTGGCTGTGTGCGGAGTTGTTGGTGTGAGGCAAGAGCGAGCAGCCACTCGCCTCGCACCACTGTCCAAAAGGCGCTGCAGTAGCCGTCGTAAACATCCATAAGACGCCTGCACCCCCCCACATGCACACACCAAAGGAAAATCTGCGGACTTCCATTTCCTCCCTCCCTCCCCCCCCCCCCCCCCC